AGAAAAATGTGGTGGAAACGCCTTCCAACTCATCTACTCTTATTTTAGCTCTATTGGCGTGTTTACTTATTAGGAATTGATGCAAAATGATTAATATCTTTTCATTTCTAACGTATCTAACACGTAAGGACTATTGAAATTAGCTGTACCATATCCAATTTCATTCAAGTATCATTACCAATTTACCAAGGCGGGCATGTTATATATTTATAACATCAGGAATTAATTTTCTTCAGTGTTATATATTTATATACAGTCTACAATTGAGTGAGTGGTAATAAAAAAACCAAAAACTCAACAAAAGTGTAGAAAGTACGGAAATGTAATTTTCATTTGAATAAAATAAGTTGAATAAATATATAAACTCACAGTACTTCCGTTGTATAATATAGACTCACAGTACTTCCGTTGAATAGATATATAGACTGTCGTATAAAATATTATGCTACTAATTGAGCAACTGAGTTTTGGGTTTTATATACAACGGGAGTACTGCGAGTCTATATATTTATCCAACTTATTTTATTTTAAGAGTTATGGAGTATGGTGTGCATAAGTTTCTTCATCTCGGAGAGGATCACATTAGCGTTCGGTCAAAGACCCATCAGGTGGGATCATGCAGAGGTCGCCGCAGTCAGAATGTAGTCTTCAGAGTATGAATTCCGTATCCAAGAAATAAGAGACATTTTATGTATTTATAAATAATTGAATTACATTTTATGTGGTCATAAAACTTCAACTTTTTAAATAGAGTTGGGTCGTTGTAGGATGCGTGCGGAACTTCCACCTTGCTTGAGATGATAAGATCGAGAAAAATCAAAGCCTAAGCATTTGTTTATAAATAATTGAAATATCGTCACATAAATTTCGTACGATAAGTAGGTGAGTCTCTCACGGCTCAATCAAATGGGACCCAGAAAACATTGTTCACCTGCTCTCCGACCTTAATGGAAGACGCTAGAAATCACTATGAACAAAAGAAATAATTAACAATAAAATAAGTAAAGCATGTGGGCTTTAGCAAATTAAGGTTGCCTAATATAATAAATTAATAGTTTAATGGTTGCCTAATATAGTAAATTAATAGTTTAATGTCCCTAATATAGTAAATTAATCCTAATGCTAATCACCAAAACCAATAGCAATCCAGATTCTGATACGCCCCAATACCAAATTAAAATTTCATTACTGCAGAAGAAAAACTTGGTACAAAATCGACGGCCAAGATTCCATGGATCGTACAGTACACCGGATCTCGACCGATATTTACACCCACAGCCGATTTCCCGGGGAAAAAAACGAAATTACAAAGCTTGATTACCGGTTAATTACATTATTAACCTAAAACGACGGAACGACGCCGTAGCGGCACATCCTCTCGGCTTCGATCTCCACCTCCGTGCGCTTCGCGAACCTGCCTTTGATTCGCGGCCGAGTTTCCGCGTACGCTTTTCTCGAAGCGTACCGTATCGTCTTCTCGAACTTTCGGTTCTTCCGCTTCTCTCTGTACCTCAGCACCCTCGCCACGCGATCCACGGACGAGAGCTGGACCGCCGGTTGCGATGTCTCCACAGCAGCGGTCACCGCGTTGCCATCCGGCACGACGCTGATGTCCATCGACGACGATGATACCTGAGGCGCAAAGCAGAGGATCAGATATTGAATGCAAAATTTTCTTAGGATCTGTTTGGTAACGGAGAAAATTGAGAGGACTTACACTCTGGCTCAGACACCGAGCGTGGTGGTAGCCGTAGACGAAGGGCTTGGAGCCGGCGGAGAAGTCGAGTTCGAAGCTCTGGTCGTTAACCAGCAGAGGCTGCATGTTCTTGCTCTGCACCGGAACGACGCCGTCCGCGCCGCAGCTGTTCTGCTCCTGAGCTTCTTCAAGTTTCGGATCCACATGCCCGTAGTCCAGATCCAGATACGGATCCATTTCCTGAAACAAGTACTGCCCCGAGTTCAGATCTGGATTCTCCATCGCCTTGGGGTTCGGGAGCAGCCACGAGGCGGCCTCGGCCTCCTCCCTGCTCACCTCGGTCTCTCCGTCCACGTCGGACAAGTAACGGTCGTCGAGGAAGTTGACGACAGATTTGACGACGGGGACCGAGTTTGCAGCCGAGTTCACGGAATCGTAAAACGGCGTGACAGGGACTCGATCGTGGCGACTGCTGAGAGGGTTGGCGGAGTGGATGTCGCGGTCACAGGTGACGCAGAGGGCGGCGTCGTCGGCCTTGCAGGTGACGTGAGCTGGAGCTTGCTCGCAGACCTCGCAGAGCCAGACACGGGGGTGGCGGGAGGCGAGCTTGTTGGCCGCGTGGATCTTGGAGTCGCAGTTGACGCAGAGGAAGGCGGAGTCGGCGCGGCAGAACAGAGTCGCCGTCGCCGATTGGCAAGAGTCGCAGAGCTTCGATGCCATGACCGAAATCTGCTGCAATGTAATAGTTTTCGTAAATAGCACTCACTCTTGTCACTCACACACAAAGACTCTCTCTCTTCCCTCTTTCTCTCCTTCTCTCTCCTTTTGTGCGTTTGGATTCAGTGTGTGGTGTCTATCCTGTGGGCCCTGGATATCTAGGTAAGGACCAATGAGGGGGCGATACGTGGGCGAAGCTTAGCCATAAGGTGGGGTCAACGGTACATGGTCTGCATTGGCTTCTGAGTTTCCTTTGCTTCACCTTTTTCGCAGTGTCGTGATAGCGTGGGTAGTTGAGGGGCCCACAATAATGGTGGGTCGGTGGCCCACGCGTTGCTCGAGTTTGAGCTCAAAAAGTCGGTGTTCAATGGAATAGCCATACGCTGTGGGAGATGATTGTCTGCCATCCCACCTCATGTCATTTTCATTCTCTTTTATTTATGTGGTAACAGTTAAAACATGTCAACATTTTATATTTTTATTACTTTTTATCTTATTATTTTTATAAAAAATTACTATAAAATATTGATGTGACCACATAAAATAAGAGGGGATGAGATGGGGAAGGCAGACGATTCATCTCCTACGCTGTGTAGGAAGAAGAAGATCGACTGTCTTGTAGGTTAGGAAGCGCTAGGGCTACTCCTACCAGATGTATTTTTGACCGTTGATGTATGTGGATTAATTTGTATCAATCGCTTCAAATTAATGACGCGCCAACTTGCGCGTGAAAAATTGACCCTAAGAGTTAATTCAACCGATTGTGAGAGGAGAGGTGTATTATTTATAGAGTAACGTTATTCCTACTATATTTGTATACAATTTTAGATGATATCTAATATGGATAGTCACATCATTTGAAAATTTTGTAAAACCAAAGGAAATAAAAAAAAAGACTTCTTATATATCACAATCATCATTTAATTAACTAATTTTTCTTAATTATTAGTTTATTAAATAATGAACTAAAATTTAAAATCTAATTAATTCAAATAAGGTGACTGTACACGTCAAATGTCATCTAAGATGGTATGAAAATATAGTACAAAAATATGGTATGAATAGTAAGCAAATCACTAAAACCTATTGTGTCAATCACTACGGAGTTGTCTAGTATTTGTGATTAACTCTATAAGTCTGTATTTCTGAAATTGAACTATTTAGTATCTCTAACCCGTCGGAGAGTACACTCGTGTAATTCTCATGTTCAATTGTCGCGTGATCTACAGTTGTATGAGAATGTTGAGTACGACTCTAGTCGTATGGGCACACCCTAACTACCACGGGTAGATAGCAAAAATAACAAATGAACACCTCAACTATACATAGCAAATAACAAATGATTTGCCATACATGGAAAAAATGTTACTAATAATGCACATACAATTCGAAAAGATTTATTATGTTTGTCGGCATATATTTCAAATCAGAGGATTTGGTGTGATCGCGGTGCATGCACATGAGTAAAACGTTTTAAAAAACGATTTCTGTCAATTTTTCTTCTCTTCTAATCTCAGTCACCAAAATTCATTTAAAACGATCAAATGATTTTAGATTATTTTAAGAAAATTTTAACGAAACATTTTAGATCATGTTCACTTTAACGAAAAATCATTTTTTTACTTTAAAAGGTCAATTTTGGTACTATTACTCACAACATCTTTTTGTTATTTTCGTTTTCAAGTTATTTTCATTAGTTTTCCTTTAGTTTAATGGGTAATGCTAAGAATATCAAATTTACAAATTAAATGATGTAGCTGTAGTATTAATTAAGTGTTTATTAACGTGCTTTTTCTAATTAGTGACACATAATTTGCTTTAAAAATTTAGTCTCTTTAGCATAATTCTATTTTAATAGAAGCATTACGTGATACTAGTCATTTATGTATTATTATTTTTAGACACATGCGATAGTTATTTTACACTAAAAGGAGTGGAAAAAAAATTGATTTTGGGAGGTAAGAGGTTGAAAAGGAAGACAACAATTATCATGTCAATCCACCACTTACAGTCATTTAAGTATTATGAATAGATGACGTTATTATTATGTAAGACTTCGTATTCATTATTTTCAATAAATAAATTTAAATAGGACTTTTAACCGATCTCATCACGCTACGTATTATTATCCAAAATCACAATCTCGTCTCAGTTCATATTCTCTTACCTTTTGTTTTTTGTTGCATTTTTGTATTTTTTATGATTTTTAAACTTTTTTTAACTGAATTAATATGAACCGTTGGATGACATTTTTAAACTCTTTTTTTTGTTGCATTTATGTTTTTATTTTATTTTTTATTTTTTGAACAAACTATATTATATATATATATATATTATGGGGAAGTGGATGAGCTTAGCTTCATAATGGGTTAATAATAATGTGGTTTAAATTCATTTTTGGCGAAAATTGAACCTAAAACCTCTCATTTACAAGTGAAGATGAATACTATTAGACCGTAATACTAATTGGCATATGTGGAATCATATGTTTTAGATGACGTGGTTATTGACTGTACCGTCGGATTTGTACCTAAAGAAAATTAAACAGCTCAGATCAAATTGCTAGTAAATATTCCATTATTCTTTTTAAAATTACATAATTACCCTTGAAAATCCCTAACGAACCTTTTTCCCCTCATTCGTTCCTCTTGTTTGCTCTGCCGCTCCGTTCCTCCCAACCTCTCTCTCTCTCATTGAGAGTATTCAAACCGCGAGGTCAGTAAATTTCTCTGACTCTGTAAATAAAACCTACGAATTGCTGTAGAGTTTCATATTTTAACCTCTGCTGTGGAATTTCCTTTTGATTTTAGTGTTTTACGGCTTCAATAGCGGATTGCTTTTGCTGGGTTTACTCAAGATTTAATTGAATATGGTTAAATAGGTTAATCACTGGATTTGGTAGTGTGAGTTTTGAAGATTAATGTGAATTTAGTTGAAGGATTCAGCAACACATGGTAAATGATAATTTCATTTGGTACAGGTTTATAGCTAATGATAGAGGGTTCGTTTGGAAGTATATTTAAAATGACTCCAAGCACTGTTGATGAAAGTGCTTTTGGAACCAATCTTAGTAAAAATGCAAGTGAATCCTTGTAGGACTTCAAGTGCAATTGGAACCTAGAAATAATTTCACTAAAACACTTTCAGTTATTTTAAAAGCACTTCCAAGTGAGCCAAAATTTGGACCCTTTGGCAACTTATTGGAGATTGTGTAGTTTAAGGGCAGTTTGGAAGTGCTTCTCTTGAAAGCACTTATGCCAAATGCTAAAAGAACCCCTTTTAGTTGGTTATCTAAAAGCGCTTTTAAGCATTCTAAAAGCAGTTCGAAACAGATTATAAGGTGATTGTTTGGGAATGCTTCTGTAGGAAACCTGCTCATAAGCGCTTAAGAGCTTGTATTACGAACATGTTGAGTTTCGTATTAAAATTCCAAGTGCTTCTTCAAAAAGAGATTATGGGTAAAAGCACTTTTATGTTTTTCTGCCAAACATAGTTAGAAGCGCTTTCAGAAGCAATCAGCAATCCCAGTATGGTTTAATATTGACTGTTATTCGAACTTGCAGGGAGTAATGTTCGTATAAAATTGGTTTAGCAAAACTTGATGTTATATGATTTATTCTTTCCATTTTTAATTTGCACCATCATATTTGTGTAGGTGCCCAATTGTTGCATAAGAACGGAGTGCAACCATACGTAGCTTAGAGATTTAGGGTTACAAGTAGAAGTGTAGAAAGGGAAAAATGGCGGTGAAGTCAATGATGGTACGTCCATATGTGTTATCAGCCTCCTGCTTCCTTAGTCGAGCTCTACCATCCTTATTTTCTCAACCAAGGCAAACACAGTTGGTATTGCTGCACCATAGAGCAATCAGCAATGAAAACAGGAGGAATATGAGACAGGAATATGGTGGTGTCAGGAGATTCAGTCCTCGATCCTCGAGCGTGGGCAATGCTGGCTCCATCGACTCCCCCCTCATAGAGTCCATGAAGAAAAAGATCAAGGAGGAGCTAAATGCTGAATCTGTTAGCGTAGAAGATCTGAGTGGGGATGGCCGACATGTGGTCATTGATGTTGTCTCCTCGTCGTTTGAGGGACAGTCGGCTGTAAATAGGCAGAGGATGGTGTACAAAGCCATATGGGAGGAGCTTCAGAACACAGTTCACGCAGTTGATCAGATGACGACCAAAACCCCGGATGAAGTTTCTGGTAAGAAGTGATCAAAGCGTTTGTTGACGAAGTTTAATTGTTGCGTTTGTTAGCTAGTGGGTGGATTGTCTTGGTGAATAAGATTTTATCTTAAATCCACCGCGTCCGGGTTCAAACTCTCCCCTCCCCTTAGTCTAGTGCAAAAACATTGTTGCATTTGCTATGCATCCTCGAATAAGGTTATTTTTTTGAATTGTTTGGGTGCAACCATTTCTTTGGACATAAGCGATACTAGAAGAAGGGGAATCGGGCAGAGGAGCTCGAGTTCGCTATTCTAAATCTTTGCAGCAACATGTATATTTCGAGCATTTTTAACAGGGATAGGAGCATTCGAGTAGTTTCGTGCCTCTCCTCGAAGTGCACAGAATCACGAAACAATTTAGAAAATGCAAAAAATAGAGAACGAACCCGATATTAAGAAGAGATTAGATGTTAACATACCATTAGAGAAGAACAGCAGGAGCACTGTCAGCAGAGGGAAGAAACACCTCATCTGTGTCTTTCAGAACAAATGCTATATTAAGCTCTCTTTTCTTTGTGGTAGCTAGTGTTTAAATTATCGATGTCGATGGAGATTTCGATATAAATTTCAATATCGGCGGCTTTCGATGGAAATGATGAAAATTTAAAATGAAACTTTGGAGAATGTCTAAGAACTATAATTTTTCCGATATTTAACCAAAACGTTGGAAATAGCAATGAAATATGTCGATTTTAGCAGAATTATTTTAAGAGTTTCTCCGTTACTTCGTTATGCAGTGAAGTTCAGACGTCAGCCTCCCTCTTTGTTCTATATCTTTTTTTAATATTTCTACTGAAATATCGATAACACAAATATGTGTGATTGGGATAATACCTCTTTCTGCGTCCTGTTGAGGCCAAGCCTCAAAAAGTTTTCCCATTTATTTATGCTTCCTCTCAATATCATATGAGGGTAACTCAGTACTACACTCGAGTGATATTTTTCTTTGCTTATAATTTATAAGTGAGAGATCTTAAATTCGAATCTCGTTGAAGGCGGTTCAAACCAATTTATTCGCCCACCCAATTGCGTAAATATACCATTATATTTATTAAAATAAAAAAATCACACGAGCAAGCTATTGAGTTGAGTTTTATTCATTGATAAGTCGAAATAGCATTATTCACATAATCATTTACTCTATCAGCTCTTAGTTTCTACTTGATCGATCACTTCCTCGGTCGATGATGGAGAAATATACCTTGCATCTTTGCAACAACATGTATGTTCATCGATGCATCCACCGCTGATACTTGTGCGACCCATGCTCACGCAGGTTAACACACATTCCTCTTTTGAGCAACCCTCCAGAGGGATGGGATGGGCTTGGAGCATGAAACCCCTCCTTGCAATGTACCTAATCTGCAAACAAGAACATGTTAAAACAAGGTTAAACATGTAATTAAATAACGTAATTTCTCTCAAACGGATAACAGAATTTCAAAAGGCAGTGTCTCTGTCGTCCCTAGACTTGAATTTGAAATACATTTTTCGTGAATTAAAGTAGTTTGAAGTATAATCATCAACGAAACGAAGATAAGAGAATTTACCATTAGAGAAAACCAAGAGGAGGACTATAAGCAAGGGGAAGAAAGCTTGCCCCTTCAGCTTTGTCTTTGTCAATGTGCACCCTCGCCCATACAATTGCCCAACGACTTTCTTCCTCCGACTTCTTTTCAAGAGTGCTACACTGTTCTTCGTTTTATACCCAAAAAAGCATGATTAACGTCATTTCACACTGTCAGTCTTTTTTGGAAACTCATTCAATATTTTTGTAACTGCCAAGTATAATTGGATTTTTTTTAGTATGACTTTTTTTACTTATGCAATTTTTGGATTTCGAATTAGTGGCATTAAATTGTGCTTCCATTTAATGAGATTGCTATATAGATTTGCTACCTAATAAGAAATGTATATTTGTTTTCTTAGACGGGCATTCGAAATCCTGAATTTGGGGCTCGTTTGGAAGTGTTTTAAAATGACTAAAAATAGAGAAAATATTTTTAGGGTTTCAAAAGCACTTAAAGTGCTTTTTGCAAGAAGCACTAATTATAGGCTTCTTGTAAGAAGCTTGTAAGAAGCATTTCAAGTCTTTTTCTATGATTCACTTGTATTTTTACTATAAATTGGTTCTAAAAATATTTTTATAAAAAATGTTTTCAGTTATTTTAAAAACATTTTCAAACGAACTCTTAATCATTTTCTCTCGATATCACTTTTTTATTTTGAGAGTGTGAAGAGAATTGCAATTACACGAGCATCTCCAATGGCCACGGTGAGATGTTAAATGCTTTGAAATGGGTGTTTTATATTTTTTTTCTTGACTGGAAAGCTCTTCAATGGACATAATATAAAATTTCTTTTTTCCACCTTCAGAGAATGGACTCCGTCATTTAAAGGAAAAGTGAAATAGAATTTTAAATTTACATCTCCCTCGTTGGAGTAGAATTCATAATTTTATATACTAAAAATGTAAAATAAAATAAAAATATGGTTTTTCTTTGTAATCCACTAGTATATCGCACTCACAAAGTGTGTGAATTTTTTTTTGGGACACTTTGGATGCGGTCCCTATCTATCAATATTATTTGATTGAAACCTTGTTAGTTTTTAGTTTTTGATTGAGGTCCCTGATATTAATATAATAATGTAAGTTACTATATTTTTTTAATTAAAAATTGAAAATTGAAAATTTTAATTGTTTATATTAATGAGATTTTAAATAAAACCCATAATTTATGGGATTAAAAATAATAAAATATAAATTATTCTCTCTATTATATTGTGTGTGTGTGTGTGTGTGTGTATATATACACACATATGTATGGGTACATTAACCAAAATTAACAAAAAAAGTTATTGTACCAAAACATGGATACATTCTCAAATCAACGAAAAAGAATGTACCCATATAAGTTTAAACATGGATTAAAAAATTTGAATGGATTTTATATTAAAAAGGGTACATTTTACATATAACAAATTGATATATTTGAGAATGGGTACATTTAAGATTAAAAAAATTGAAAAATTATATGAATGGGTACATTTAAGATTAAAAAATTGAGAATCTTTTTATATATAAAAAAAAACTAATAGGTACAAACTTAATTTAATTTAATTTTTTATTATTTTGAAAATGTTTGAATTGAAAATTAATTAGAAGTTTAATAGAGGTGTGAGTATTAAACCCTAAATTAATTACTAATTTTTATATTTAAAAAAATTATATAATAAACATGTAAATTCATTATCACATTAATGCTAGGGACTTGAATCAAAATTTGAGAACTAATAAGGTGTTAGTCAATGAACAGTAAAAACTAGGGACCGGATATTAATTTTTCCTTTTTTTTTACTTTGGTTGTTAAAATTGAAATAGAGAGGAAGAGAGAAAGAGAGAGAGAGAGAACGTGGGAGCGAGGAGAGAGGGTAACTAGTTTTGTTTTCGGTTCCTAATTTTGCGTCATTGTCACTGTAGACATCGAAATTTCGGTAAATAAATGTTGACCGACAAATCAAAGTGTCAACGCTCATGTATTACATAAATTTTACACGTAGCGTGTGACTCAACGAAAATTGAAATAAGTTGGAAAAGTCATCAAATAGGACACGTGTCAACACCTGGCAGAAACGACTTATTTCATCTGGAATATTATATTCAAAATTAGGCCTTGGAAAATTCTATAAATACAAGCCCATTTCATTAATTTGAAGAACGAATTCATATTACACCTTGAAGCTCTGAAGCTCTGAAACTCCGAAGCTCTCAAGCATCCAGGTTCCCGAAGAATCAAGAAAGCTCTCTTCGTTCTTCGTTCATCGTTCATCCAAGATCAAGCCCCAACGGCCATTTGGATCAACAATCATCCACCAATTCAAGATCAAGCCCCCGACGGCCTTTGAAGAAAGCACCATCGTTCATCATCCGTTCATCCAAGATCAAGCCCCAACGGCTCTTTGGATCAACAACGTCGACAAATCCACACACATCCAACCGTTCTTCAAGATTAAGCCCAAAAGCCCTTGAAGATCCGTTCATCACTGTTCTTCAAGATCAAGCCCAAAAGCCCTTGAAGATCCGTTCATCACTGTTCTTCAAGATCAAGTCCCAACGGCTCCTTGAAGATCCGCTCAAATCCACCTTCAAAGATCAAGCCCACGGCCCTTTGAAGAAACTTCCAACAATTCATCCAAGATCAAGCATCAACGGCCCTTGGATCAACAAAACATCCACCAATCAACACCTTACGGAGATCGAATCAGAGGATCAAAATAGAGAGAGATTGTAACCCAAAATCATCAAATACATAATATTTGTTTGTGCACGTTTGTTCTTGTCTCTTTCGTTTCAGGAATTTTCCGTGTTCACAAATTGGCACGCCCAGTGGGACACCTCTACCTCTCATCTCTTTCTCCGTTCAAGAAATTCAAGCGCACTTACAAAATTAATGGCATCAAGGAAGGCTCGAACTGTTCCCGCAACCGGCGCAAAGAACAAGAGCATCCTCGCCGCAACTGGTGTCACTTTGGGCATCACGACTCGAAGCATGGCAAGAGCTACTTCCGCCACCTCTTCCACCTCTGCATCAACTCTGCCAAGGGAACGAGAGTACCCCAGACGCGAGCCTGTGATCACCTTAGCCTCACTAAGGGCACCAAGGGGGGGAAGCCCAAGGAAATACTCCGAATTCATGCTCTCCGACGCCGATTCAAGCGGCAGTGCAACCATGCAAGTCATGACCATTGGAGCAACTTCAATTGATGAGCAGCTGGCTCAAATGAATGAAGCAATCGCAAGGCTAACCCGAACTGTGGAAGAAAAAGACTTGCAAATTGCAGCACTAGTCAACCGACTGGAGGCGCAGGACGGCGATAAACCCGACCCAGAGAATGATCCACTAAAGAGAAGAGATGACGAAGAAGATGAGCCTCAGGTGGAGAAAAACGATGCGAAGCCGGAGCCAGACCAAGCAGCAGCACTCATGGGATCTCTTTCTATCCCAGCAGCTGCAAGAGATGATCACCAACACCATCAAGGCACAGTACGAAGGGAGCTCAAATACCTCCGGGTTGTACTCAAAGCCGTATTCAAAGAAGATCGACACCTTAAGGATGCCGAGGGGTTATCAACCACCAAAGTTCATGCAATTTGATGGAAAGGGAAACCCGAAACAGCACGTTGCCCACTTCGTTGAAACTTGCAACAACGCAGGAACAGAAGGGGGATTACCTCGCAAAGCAGTTTGTGCGCTCGCTGAAAGGAAACGCCTTTGAGTGGTACACAGACCTAGA